TGAGATCTGAGGATCGCAGTTCAAAGCCAGCCCGGTTGGGAAATTCCATGGGTCTCTGATTTCCAATTAACCCCCAGAAAACTGGAAGTGGCGCTGTGGCTCACGTGGTAGAGCGCTCCCCTTTAGTTGAAGAGCTGAGGGACAGCGCCCAGGCCCAGAGTTCAAGCCCGTGACTGACCAAAAAAAAAAAAGCCAGTGGCCTCTGTCTCCCATGTCCCCATCATGGGCTCCCCTCCCCTGGACCTGCCCTCTAGAGCCGCAGCCGGGATGGCATGAGGGCCCTCGGGTGGGCTGAGGGGAGAAAAGCGAGATGAGGAATGGAGAGCTGTTGGCAGGAGCCATGAGTGGCTTTGGGAGACGGCGGGCCCGAGAGGCCCAGGTTCCCGAGCGCCAGAACATGGCCGCCGTCAGTGTGTTTTCACTGCCGACTTCTAGAATCATTTGGTAACCCGCACACCAGGAATCAGCTCCGGGGAGGACGGGGTGACTGCTGCGGCTGCCTGGGTGTGCTGGCGTGTTGCTGCCGTGAGTTAAGGAGGGGAGCACGCTCTGTGGAAGGAGGGGAGCACTCTGTGGAAGGAGGGGAGCACTCTGTGGAAGGAGGGGAGCACTCTGTGGAAGGAGGGGAGCACTCTCTGTGGAAGGAGGGGAGCACTCTGTGGAAGGAGAGGAGCACGCTCTGTGGAAGGAGGGGAGCACTCTGTGGAAGGAGGGGAGCACTCTGTGGAAGGAGGGGAGCACTCTCTGTGGAAGGAGGGGAGCACTCTGTGGAAGGAGAGGAGCACGCTCTGTGGAAGGAGGGGAGCACTCTGTGGAAGGAGGGGAGCACGCTGTGGAAGGAGGGGAGCACGCTGTGGAAGGAGGGGAGCACTCTGGAAGGAGGGGAGCACTCTGTGGAAGGAGGGGAGCACTCTCTGTGGAAGGAGGGGAGCACTCTGTGGAAGGAGAGGAGCACGCTCTGTGGAAGGAGGGGAGCACTCTGTGGAAGGAGGGGAGCACGCTGTGGAAGGAGGGGAGCACTCTGTGGAAGGAGGGGAGCACTCTGGAAGGAGGGGAGCACTCTGGAAGGAGAGGAGCACTCTGTGGAAGGAGGGGAGCACTCTGTGGAAGGAGGGGAGCACTCTGTAGGAGAGGAGCACTCTGTGGGAGGGGAACACTCTGTGGAAGGAGGGGAGCACTCTCTGTGGAAGGAGGGGAGCACTCTGTGGAAGGAGGGGAGCACTCTGTGGAAGGAGGGGAGCACTCTGTGGAAGGAGGGGAGCACTCTCTGTGGAAGGAGGGGAGCATTCTCTGTGGAAGGAGGGGAGCACTCTGTGGAAGGAGGGGAGCACTCTGTGGAAGGAGGGGAGCACTCTGTGGAAGGAGGGGAGCACGCTCTGTGGAAGGAGAGGAGCACTCTGTGGAAGGAGGGGAGCACTCTGTGGAAGGAGAGGAGCACGCTCTGTGGAAGGAGAGGAGCACTCTGTGGAAGGAGGGGAGCACTCTGTGGAAGGAGGGGAACACTCTGTGGAAGGAGGGGAGCACTCTGTGGAAAGAGGGGAGCACTCTCTGTGGAAGGAGGGGAGCACGCTCTGTGGAAGGAGGGGAGCACGCTCTGTGGAAGGAGGGGAGCACTCTGGAAGGAGGGGAGCACCCTGGAAGGAGGGGAGCACTCTCTGTGGAAGGAGGGGAGCACTCTGGAAGGAGGGGAGCACTCTCTGTGGAAGGAGGGGAGCACTCTGTGGAAGGAGGGGAGCACTCTGTGGAAGGAGGGGAGCCATGGCTGGAGGTATCTGCAGGCTGGAGGGGGAGCTGTTTGCACACTTCTAGGTGGGGTGGCGGATGGGACACTGGGACGCAGGGCAGATATAAACAGCCCTGGAAAAGGCACGCTATACCTGCTGCCATGTGAGAACTCAGGCGTACGAGCTGCTGAGTCCCACCGCAGGGAAGCTCAGACGCACCGAGGACAGAACGCTCAGATCACCCTTCGGTGTGGCAGCAACAGTAACAGTCACAACCCTGCAAAGGCAGAGCTTCGCGCATACAGCTTTAGGGTCTAACGTTACGTTCTGAAAAAAGCCATCGGCTCACATTCTGCAAACCGTACGTACAGCATTAGGGTCTAATGCAGCGACCAACAATGGGAGAAGAGCCTTCTGTGGGTACTCTGCAAGCCATAAGCAGTTGCTCAGATCCTTTAACACCAACAACGAGCATGGATATTTTCAGCCTGCCACGTGGAAGTCGGCTGACAAGGGAGAAGACATCAAGAAACTTGACAGTTTCTTCTCTGGGATGGGCCAGGGAAAAGTCAAGGCACATTTCCAATCCAGAGGCCTCTTTTGATCTATTCTGTGCCAAAAGTTCCTCTTGCACACTCGCCCCCAGTGCCACAGGCAGGCGGGCACATTTTCTGTGCAGACCCTCCAGGCACCGGCTAGAGGTCAGGCCCTGGCTAGAGGTCAGGCCCTGGAGTGGTGGGAATGCAAATCCCTCAGATCAAGTGTTGTCCTGCACCCTGCTGGGTCCCAAATCCCTACGGTGGAACCTGACAGCCCATGTGACCGCAGCGAGGGGCAGACATGAACGGAATCCACAGCCTCATTCAAGGCGCGGGCAAGCTGCCTTGTCCCCTTCCACCAGGAGGGGCCGGAAGCCTCTGGCACTTTGGACAGTGGGCAGTGCACTTCTGCTGTGCACAAAGCACCTGGTAGTTTTGTTGTAGCATCCTCAAGGATGCGCACAAAGGCTGTGAGGCCCGATGGCAGGACAGACGAGGAGATGTCTGGCCTGTGTATGGGGTAGGAGTTCCTGAAGCAAGATCTAGAAGGGTAAGTACGCTGGGCTAGACAGGGAGCTTCGGAAGCTCTGTTTCCCTCGGCTTTGTGTCCAGTTCTGGGGCCAGGTGCTCACCCTAGCGATTGTACATTTACTGTTATTTCCTAGGTTACTTCCCAGCTGTCTGAACTACAGGTGAGAGGTATGGAAGAAGCCCCGGGGAAGAGCAGGGCTAGGGGTGGGGCGCTGGGATGGGGTGGGGCATCATCTTCCTCCACTCCTGGTGACGTAGACACCCCTACCCCAGGCCCTCACCCGGGCAGTGCCTCTTGCACTGTGAGCGGGCAGGCTGACCGGCACAAGGAGAGCTGTTGTCCCGTGTCCAGTCCTGCTTTCTGTCTACGCCCATCCTGGCTGTGCCCCCTGTGTATTTAGTGGAGGCCAGCACTGTGCACAGACTGCGATGGCTCAGAACTCGTTCATCTCAAGTTTACAGCCTCTGCAACGGCTCCTGAGAACGAGGTCCCAGGAAGGGCCGACGGGCCTCACTCCTCCCTCTCGCCCGCTCCCCCCCCCCGCCCCACGTCCCTGACCACTGCGTCCATCTGCAGCCCAGGAGCCCCGCTCGTCACCCCACGGCAGCTCTGCTCAGCCTTTTCATCTCACTGACACAATTCTACGTGTGGTAATGCTCCACGCGTCTGTTCTCTCCTCTCCACACACAGCACAGCTTCAAAGGACATCTCCAGTCTAATGGCTTTCAAGCCTCCATCTCCAGCTGCGACCCAGCCCCTCCAGATGAGCAGCCCGACTCCACGTCTCCCCCCCTGCCATCTTCCCATGTCAGGGAGAGGCAATGCTCTTCTTGCCGTGACTGCACCACCCTTTACCTTCCTCATCTCTCAGTCTAGTTGCTCCCCTTTCCCAGTGACTTGAACTCTGGCCAGCCCTCTGCACACACCGCTGCTGCCCCCCCTTCCCCAGCCTCATTGTCACCTATTCTCAAGGTCACTTTGCCAATATGACTCTACTGGAAACAATACACACTGGACCACCGTACTCTTCTCAATTCTTCCCAACCACCCAATAGCGCCCAGTGAAGCCCAAAAGGACTCCCACGAGCTCTGGCCTCCAGCTGGGGTTGACTTCAGGGCACTCTTCCTGGGCTCTCTCCATGACTTCCGCACAGGCATCTTGCTGCCCCTCGCACACCCAAGCATGCCTCCACTGACTTGGACAGGTCCCTGCTACAATGTCACCCATTCCTCCACTGTCCCAATGAAGCACGACCCCTCCAGCCCCTCCAGTGTGCTCTAGTGTGAGCCCGGCTCACACCGCCTGCCCTTCTCATCTGGGCCTCATGGTCTCCCAGCACAGAGACAGTTCTCCTCAGGATGGATTTGCTCTAGATTGTGCTGGGCTTTCTCTCCAGTAGTGAGAAGTTCTCAGTGCGCATTCAGTGGATTAAGTGCTGCAGGCAGTAAAGTAAGTGGCCACAAGTTAGATATTAAGAATGAGGTCAAGGAGAAGCTGACAGACAGATGAGCTGGAATTTTACACCATGGGATTTTACTTACAACCGGTATTGGTGACTAGGCAGGGGAGAAGGCCGCAGTGTTCAAATTCTTTCCTGTGTGCCACAGTTGGTCTTATGGTCTGAAGCTTCTACCTGTTTAAAATTAATTCCCAACCAAAGGGCACACAGAACCTTCCGGGGCTTGCCGGCGCTGGTTCTCTCGCTCTCAGGCCGCGCAGGCTCTCTGACCTGAGGGCTTTCGTGATATGTTCTTCTGAGGCATCTAAAGACCCGAACCTCAGGAGTAAAGAATTATGTCTTCAGGAAGAGATGAGCCAACTATACAGTTACTCTGTGGCAACGTAATGTCTGAAACATAGTGAACTGCAAAGAGTAAATACCTTGAGGAAACATGGCATTTTAAGGTAAGAAAATGGAAATGTAACCGTGTGTGAGACTCTCCTTGAAGTTCCGAGACCAGGAAACACATTAAGCTTCCAGCAAATAGAAAACACATCTTCTGGTGTGTGCTGAGTAAAATCCCAATGCACCAGGCAAGCAGGAAGAGAGGGCAGAGCAGCACTGACCACAGGGGTAGGGGCCTTTGCGTCCCCCTGCAGTTTCAGAAGTGAGAGAGAACATGGCGTTTTTCTATCAGTGGCTGTCTGCTCCTCCAAGAAATCTTGTGATGCGATCAGCCTCTCATGACACAAAATACTTTTGGCCTAACACCTTCACATTTATTGTTCCTTAAATGAGATGGAAACATCATGCGTCCATCTGCTCTAGCAGTGAGCTGTAGCTGAACATGGCCCTCAATTATGCAAAGTGTGGAGCTGTCCTGCCGTAATGACCTTTATTCTTCTAGGTTATATTAAAGCAGAGGAGATTTCAACAGGCAGCCTTTATTAACCAATATGTCATACTTTTTTTTTGTTATTTAGGAGGCAACAAAATATGATTGTTTTTTGTCTTCTTTTAAAAAAAAGGAAAAAAGGCCCCCCAAATTAAAAAAAATCATAAAAACATTTCACCAAACAAAATCTGTACAAAAATCAACAAAAGAAATTACGATGATCTTCAAGTTCACAAGTAGACTCATTTACTAACAAGGCACGTGGTGAGTTGACTATTCTTAAGCAGTCCGTACACAGAAGGACAGTTCCTGAAAGAGAGGAAAATGAAATGTTTGTACACAGCAAGACAAGATTTAGGCAGAAGAATTAGGCATGCAGAAGTTTAGTAAAAATAGGCTTTCTATGGAAAAGAGGTATGGTGGGGGGCTGGTGGAAGGGCTTATAAACTGATAAAATGTGAGTTGAAGCCCCTTTGGATAGCTACTAAAAGATAGTAAAAATTATAATAAGACCAAAAATTTAAGTTAAAGTCGAGGACATCAAATACTGTGGTCAGTATTATTAAGGGCTGTCTTTTCTGATGTTTATAGTTTGGCTTCATAATGACAATGCCTGTATTACATGAAACCTCCATATTCAAATATGCAACTTCAATGGGTCAAGAACTGTCCTTGCATTTTGTGACATGAAAACTAAACTTTCAGATATTTTTTAACAGTAAAGCTTATTAACGAACACAGGAGAACTTGATGTGTTACAAAGAGCAAAACTGTTACTTCAAAACCCAGGTGCTAACCAGATGGGAAATCCCAGTAATGGTGAAGCATCAAGGTGCACACAACACTGTTCAACATGCAGAAGTAACTGTGCAGGGTGCGTGACTCCCTGGGACCCGCCTCTTCCTCTCTCTCCAGAGGCACTTCTTTGACTATTTCCTGGCACCTTGTGTTCTAGCAACTGCTCTAGGCCTCCAGACACATGATACTCAGTCCACCATCCCCACACCTGGTCCAGCCTATTGGCGCCAACCTTGCTCTCCTCCTATCTGCTTGAAGTATTGTGTCATCTCTGCCTTTATCCAACTTTTTAGTCCTGCAGAGTTGCAGAGACAGCATGCTTCTCACTTACAACATGCATATATCTTAACAGGTTAAGCATATTAAATACAAGTATCTCTATTGACCTTCAATCAATAAATACCTGTTTATTTTTGTGCTGGTATTGAGACTTGATCTAAGGGCATCTTGATTGACTTTTGGGGCTAGAGGCTAGAGTTCTACCACTTGAACCACACTTGTACCCTCAGCTTTCTGCAGCTTAACTGGAGATAAGAGTTTTGCACACGGGTCTGCCTAGGCTGGCTTCAATCCTAATTTCTCAGATTAGAGCTTCTTGAGCAGCTAGTATTACAGGCATGAGCCACAGGACCAGCCAATGAGTCTATTGAGATAACCCAAAGATTTATCTCTGGAATGGCTTCTGACTAAGTGCTTTAAGTTTTATAAAATATAACAGACTTATCCATAACCATCAGGGAGCTTAACAGGGGATGAACTACCCACACAATGTACCAATGTAACTAGCAGATCAAAATTAGTCATTAAATATTATCAGCCAATAATCTTGGGTAGGGAAAGCTCTTCTGTTGAAGAGGAGAAGGAGGGTATGGAAGAACTAGTGAGATCTGGATAGGAGGAAAAAAGGTGGCAAAAAAGACAGGGTGAAGGAAATGGCCTGTTTCCTCAAAGATGAGAGGTTCCTCAGCCTCAGGAAAGCAGCCATCTGCTTCAGTGATTGCATCAGCAGGGCTTGGCCAAAGGCTGTCACCCAGATCTTCAGACACACATGCTAAGGTTAGTAGTGGTAGGGAATTAAGATCAACTTTTTATTGTACACACTTAGGAAGATTTCCGATTTTCTACCATACACATGTATTCCTTATTAAATAAAGGTCATACCTGCATGTAAAGTTCTCATTTCCAATGAGAAACCAAATCAACCCTAGTGCTTGTGTTTGAAGAACAACAGGGCCATTTGTCTATTCTTGTGCTCCTCACTGAACACCTTGTCAGTCCCTGCTAGGTATGGGCCAGCACTATGCTAGGAGATGGAGGCCCAAGCCCAACAGGACACAGTTCTTTCTTTGAAGTTCGGAAAGTCTTATATAAACACGTTTGGTGGAAAGCCGCCTGCACAAGGACACTAGCCCTAATGGGTCACACCTGCATCTGCTTGCTCGTGCTCCCTGAACGCCCTGCTGGGAGGTAAAGGAAATGGGGAAGGTGAAGGACACAGTCGGTCGTGGGGACTTCACACTCTGTCTTGGGCCTGCCCTGGGATGGCCCTGCTTCCTGGCCACCGTGAGGACAGCAACTCCACCATGGCCCCCCTGCCATGAGGGATGGAGACTTCTGAGATCTTGAGCTAAAAATCTCTTAAATTGTTCATGTGGGGTACTTTGCTATGGGGAAGCGAACTGGGCTAACATAGCAGCCAAGTATAGAGTACCTATTCCAGATTATTTTTGATATATGGGTCATAATCCTTTCCCCAAATCTCAGGAAGCTATGAGTTCTTGTTGTTTTTTTTTTAAGTGTACAAAATTTCCATGAATTAGATCAGAAGACCATCTGGGGCTGACCTTCTGCCTATCCAAAACTGCTGACTGAAGAAGCTTGAGCAGATGGCAGTGAAGAGGCCTAGGTCTTGGCTGGACTAAGCAACAGAGATGGGCCTGCTCCTAGGACTACCGGCCATCTCCAGAGCTGTGAACGCAGGGAGATGGTTCGCTCAGAGCTTCGTCAGGGATGCAGCTCTGTCAGCATTTGGGTTGTAGCCCACGGCACTGCAGGATGAGCTTTTTACTGCACAAGCCACGGAAGGAGGAGGCCTACATTGATTATCTGACATGTCTATTTCTATGCAACAGCAGCACAAGTACTAAAGAAAAAAAATAGCCAAAAAAATGGGGTGAAGAATGCAGTCAAGTATTCAATGTATATCTTACATAATTAAGAAGGGTGCATGAGGGAAGAGAGGTATGAGAGAATGGGTGAGAATGTTGAAAGGGTGACATTGATCAAGATGCATTGTGTTCCTAAACTGCTTTGTTACACGGCAAGTCCTTTGTACACCTAGAGATAATACAAATACATTTTTAAAAAGAGGAACCTCCAACACCATTATATGTTAAAGAGAGATGGTATATATTGCATTTGTTTTCTGTGCAAAGAAGCCATTAGAAACACACACACACACACACACACACACACACACACACACACACACACACACACACTCCCCAAAGAACACATTTTGGTCTACTGAAAGAAAATCATATATTTCTCATTTATATTATAGGTGAATTCTGTTCTGATAATCAAATTTTGTATCTCACTTTCAGGTTATAAAACTATTATAATATCCTATCTTTTAAAGTCTTACAAAGTAAACAGAGAGCCAGTCGCTCATGCCTATAACCCTAGTTACTCAGGCGGCTGAGATCTGAGGATTTTATCTCCAGTTAACCATTAAAAAGCTGAAAGTAGAGCTGTGGCTTAAGTGGTAGAGTGCTACATGGTCTGAGTTCAAGCCACATGATTGACACACAAAAGAAACCAAGTCTTATTTAAAAACTACACAAGAGAAGCATCATCTTCATGGCACTGCTGCAGAAAGGGAGACGTGCCCAAAGGCACAGAGTCAAGTGTAAGGGCTCCAATGTAAACACTGGAAAAGTCAGATGGGATCAGCAGGGCCTGGGTTGTGTTTTTCAGAACAATGAACAAATACCTGAAAAACTAGATCTGATTAATGATAATCTTTCTTTTTAGACATCTTCGTAGATCTTTAGATTAAAAACACTTATTCACCAATCAGGAGCAGTTGTTCAGCCTGTAGTCCTAGCTAGTTGGGAGGTATGAAGCCAGCGGGGGAATCCATCTCAATCAACAGCTGTGTTCAGTGGAAGGAGCCTGTCATCCCCAGAAACAAGGGGAAGCAAGCAGAGGATCCCAGCTCAGGTTGGCTGAGGAATCAATCTAGACTATGTCTTAAAAACCATGTCTCTAAAAAAAACTATGTCTCTAAAAAAAAGGAGTTGGAGGCTTGACTTCAGAGTAGACAACCTGCCCTGAAAAGCACAAAGCCTTGAATTCTATCCCTAATAATGTACTCCCTCACACACAAACGATGCCCAAATTCTCTGCAACACCTGTTAGAATATTTATCGTGTAAAAGTAGTCATTTGTTTTGCAAAATCCAGAAGCACAAAAATAAGCCCTACTTAGACAAGATCAGAATAGTTATTTACTGCAAAGCACATCCTATAAGCCTGCAATCCAGCACTCATGGGAGGGGCTGAGGCAGGAGGGTGGTAAATTCTAGGCCAGCCTGAGCTACAGAGAGACCATCCTCAATGTTATATCCCCTCAAAACAAAATACAACCCTTCCTGCTTATCTGTGTCATTTTAGCTGGGTAAATATGTGAGAGTAAAAATTTGTTCACATTATACATTAAGTCTGGCAAACAACATTTTTCAATTTATTAATCTGAAAAACATTTTCATAGTATTGATGAGAGGTTGTATTTTTCTGGAAGCAAATGATCTGAACTCTTTAACTACTGAGATGGCCGGCAAATTAGAGGTCCAAGATCCAAGTGCAGGTAAGGAGAGGCAGTGCAGAGTCTCCCTGGGTATTATCTTCACCTCCCAAAACAACTCAGAGCACTGGAACCAAAGAACGCTTACCTTTGCTTGCTCCAAGTCAGAACCAGTTCCTCTGACATCCCAACGTGGCTGACATATCCTAACAAAAGAAGAGATCTTTTTACTTAAACAGAAGAAAACCCTCAAAAATAAAAATTAAACATTGAATATAATCTACAATTAAATCTTAAGCCAAATGATTAAAGAATAACTTTATTTCCTCTTTGTCAGTTTTAAGAATGCCCTCATTTACTAACCAAATACTGTATTACAAATAACTAGTTATGATGTTTTACATTTGTTTAATAGGGAATAATTGGCCCCAATTAAACTGGCTAAACTAAGGCTTTTTAGATTACTAAAACAAATTAAACTTTTTAAAATGAGAATTTAGGTGATCTTAAAACCTTTCTAAAATGGATAATGAAACTCGCTAAGTTGTAATCTCCCTGTTTTTATTAGTTATATTAAGATAAATTAAGTGAGATTAAAATCTTATTTGATTTATTTACCTTTGAAAATGAAGACCGTTTAAGGGTTACACATCCTCAGCCTTGGCGAGTGCGACCTCAATTAGTCAAGTCAGAATGTCTTTAAAAGCTTTGTGCTATTGCTTCCAGCATGGAGGCCAGGTGTTCATTAAGGTACCAAAAGTCTCATAAAAAATCCAAAGTTGCACTAGTGAAAAAACGCTCAACAAGATGAAAACTGATCACATCTTTTCCAGAAAATTCAGTAGTTATTTTTAAACCAGCTTTTAAACAAGATTTGGTTTGGCGTAATTTTAACGGGCCAATCACGCAGCTTGATCCCATTTGGACTCTTTAAACAGCATTTAAATCTACGGTGAGCACATTGTGGCACATTTAATTTTATACCATTTTTAAAATAAGTTGTACAATGTTTAGTGTGACCCTTTTATGACAAGCATTGTTAAAGGAATTCTTTCCCTGTTTACAACTATTTATGAAGGCCTTTTTAAATAAGAGAAACATGAAATGGTTAGCTCACACACACAAAATTTCTTTCAAAAGTTTATTTAGTATCAAGCAAGAGGAGACTTTGCTTAACACTACAGAACATTTCAAGACTTGAGTTACAAAAGAATACCACATTATTTTCACTTGAAACTGGCTTCCCTTTTTACGCATGTTGGCAAGAGAAGAAAAAAAATACTAGCATATGGCTTAAAGATAAAATAACTAAACTCTATGGAAACCTTAAAAATGAAAGGTGAGGCTTATGTTAAAAGAATGGATTAACATATTTAGTAACCTATCTTTTTGTTTAACACTAGTTAATCAAAGTTATTTTTTTTCCTTTTGATGACCTATTTTTTCATATACAGACTAGAAATAACAAAATTTTACATGTCTTGTTTTTTCCTGCCCAGGTGGATGTTTCAAACAAAGTAGTTTTAAGTTCCATCCATTCAGGTTTTAAGCATTTTGATTTATTTAAAAAGGGATTGTTCATAGAAAAAAATTACTTTGAACAGTATACAGGACGGGTGGAGATTGGCTATTTCACAACATCAGACAGTACAATCAGTATCTGCCATATGGCTGGTCTCTGTAGATGCCCTTTGCCGTCCTCACTGAAGGTGCTTTGTGTCTTGAGTTAGTCCACTCCTCTTGCCCTGAAATTGGTAAGACGAATCACAATTAAATCACTGCATGGATCCCACCGGCTTCATTTATCAGAATCCGACTTCACCCTAAACTAGCAGTAGATGTCATACTGAAGTTACATATCTCTGATGAACTGATAAAAGAAACAGGGAATGCAAAAAGGTATTATTTTGTTGGCAAAACTATCAGCATGGGAAGGAAAGCAAGCCTTGTATGTGTGAGACAACCAACTTGGAGAGGACTTTCCTTTACTACTCACTCAATTCAAGCTCCCAAGCTCAGGGAGCAAATTCAACTGCCTCCTCCAAAATGTGAAGGGATTTATGAGTAGGAAAGAGAAGAGAGAACCACTTACATTTCCCCTAACAGTGAGGAAGAAAATTAACACCAGCAATGAGGGGGGGTGGCGTGGAGAAAAGGAAGAAAGACCACAGAGCACACTGGGAAAAGCAGAATTGAGAAGGAGCCTCAGTCTTCACAGACTCTTTCATAAAAAGACTCCGAAAATTATAGGGTTAGGGCTAAAATGGTGCCTCCTTGACATTTCATGAGTAAGAAACAAAGTTAGTAGACAAAGGTAAATCCATCATCTTTATCTCCTGAACTTACATCTCTAGGCTCAGGACTTTTACAGAGTTACCTACAGGTTTTGGATACCAAAGAGTTAACTCCCTGCTGCAACATACAGCAATCTAAAAGCCACATGTCCATAGAGACCAATTTAAAAAGCTGTGAAAGAAAAAAGCTTAAAATGACCTCTTCTTTTGATACAAACATGTAATCACCGTCATTCCCTCAAGCTAACTTACATCAATTTAAGTTTACAGCATTCAGTAAGGCAATGCATTTCTCTTAAGTGTTTGTTATGAATAACAAAAAAAAAAAAAAAAGAATCAAGGTAGGTTATCACAGCTTTGGGCAGGTGATACAACAAAATGCACTTCAAAGGAACACCGGAAAATGGTTTTTCAGTTATGTTCAGAGAAATGTCATAGCATCCATTAACCAGGACCCTGATTCACTTGCAGTGGGCACCAGACAATCTCAGAACTCTGTAGCTGATTGAAGCTTCATGCTCTCTGATCTCTTTGCCCTGTGGCAAAGGCACGTCTTACCATCATTTTGTGGCTGCAGCCAGTTCTTTTAATTAAACCTGCCATCCTCTACATATTGAGAATTTGGACATGGATTTCCCAGCGTCTCTATCTGCTTCATTTGAATTAAGGAGAGGTTAGATGTCTCCATGTAAGTTACTCAAGACTGTCCACTCCCTGTTCAGTGCTGTTGTACTCTTTATGGAATGACTCTCAGTGTACATTTTTCAAAGTACTTGAGACTGCGAATGAGTTAAAACATAAAGAAGAGGTGGGAGAGAATCACTTCAGATGGGTACTCTCAATTTCTTCAATCTGCTTTAGTATCAAGGAACAAAGCCACTTCAGGCTATCAAGTGTCCGTAGTTTTGCAAATTATTCTATTAAGTAAGAAAAACAGCATACAGTAATCAACCCCACAAGGCAATCCACGTTTGAACCAAAACTCATGTATTTGTCTACAAGTCTGCAGTTCTCTTTAAATGTTATATTAAAGGACCTCCTGAAAAGAGATAGATACATATAAAGGAACTAAAACAAGACTGCTTCTTCAGTCTAAATGGGTTTCCAGCAAAACCTATGAATTTCCCCTCAGTAGGATCGTGTGGTCATTCTGCCCTTCACTCACCATAGGAATCGTATGTCTCCTCACTGAGTCCATGTCCATAATCATAGTAGTCAGCTCCACTGCGTGAACAAAAGAAAAAAAAAAACCATACATTAGCACAAGTGATTTGGCTATGCGTTAAAATCATACCCAACCAAATACCCCTAAGCTAAAGACACTAAAAACCAATAAAGGTGTTAAAAATAAAATCAGTTCTCACTGCAGTGACGGAGCACCAAGACAGAAGGACCCTAGATGCTCTTCACTCCCAGACTTGCCACACAGCACACAGTAAGTATGTCTGACATCTGAACTATAATTGGTTAGTCACCAGTGAGCCTGAAGACGCATGGGCTTCAGGGGGCCTGCGGCAGTACTAGTGCAGGTGCGAAGAACCAGGACTGGGTTGAGGCAGCAGTGACTACTTCCCAACAGATGGAAGTGCATTTCTTCCCCAAGCCCAATCTGCCTACTATGCACCTACCAACCAAAGAACTTGGTACTGGGTGAACTGTAGGAATTTTACTTTATAATCTTCATAATAGGGCAGAGACACTTTATGTCACTGGCACTATTACCATCATGGTGAGTGAACTGCACTACTGGTGTGAAGGCACCCTGTTATATGCAGAGATAACATGTGAGAGCGGTCTTTTGGGGGAATTCCAAGTTTTTGGTGAAGGGTCTTCTCAAATCACAGCCAAATCCATGTTCTAACATATAATATCCTTGTGATAGCAAAAAAAAGAGGTAGCCAGTTATTATTAAATCCTGGGGATAAGGCAAAAACAGGCTTAAATTTGAACTCTGCATACTTTTAGAGGCATAGGTTGGTGCCAAAGCTGTATCCTGAATCATGCGCACTGACTTTCAGAGGAAGACCTGACCTTCCATTCCCCACTCAGGCTTTCCTTCTTGTTGTGCTACTTCATTTTGCAGAATGAGAACTGTCACCATCATTTCTTTTTTTTTTTTTTTTAATTTATATCTTACGGTAAAGGTGATCTATAGAGGGGTTATAGTTACAAATGTAATGAGTTCATTTCTTTCTGAACTGTTACCCACCCCCCTCTTCATTTTCTACCACTTCCCTACTCCAGACCTCTCTTCTCTCCAAGTTGTGAAGTACATTTCCAACATAGTGTCTAGTGAGTATCATGGGTAGACTGGTTCACCCTTTGTCCCACTGTTTCAGATAAACTTATATACAAGACAAAGGGTACTGAAATAACAACAAACTGACAACAGGGAATAAACCAAAGGGAAAAAAAATAACTGCAAACAGTACAACAAAAAAAACCCTTGTTTCCATGTTTTCATTTCTTGGAGTTCATTTCAATAAGTATCATTTTATATAGTCATACGCATATAGCTATTGAGCCATTGTGATCCCCTCCTAAGAATATCCTCCATCATTTCAACTTCCAATCATCAAAGAAGCTTCAATCCAATAGAAAACCACCGAGCTGGCAGTTCAGTATCCAGGCTGCTGTGATGTGGGAAAGTGACAGAGTGTCTCCTCCGCCTGCCGGCAGCACTGCCAAGCCCAAGAAGGACCAACACAGAGGACACTGCTCAAGAGCATTGGTCATGGACCCAGCCTAGAACCTCACTAAGGACAGCGAAGGCCCTGACTCCAGGTTTTATCCCTACTTGGCTCTCCAAGTCTCACTTCCTTTCCAAAGACCAACCATGAAAACAGTGCATTACTGAGACTCTTCCAAGAGCATCAGCTCCTCTTTCTGCCAGAAATGTATTCTTTCCCCTCATCTCCTCCAAGCTGTTTCCTACTCAGTTAGCCTACAAGCCACTTCCATAGATAATTCTCCCACTCAGGGTCTGGCTGGTTCCCACTGCAGCCCACTTTCTTTTCCCTTGCCCCAAGCAGGCGTGGAGGGGCTTGGTACATGAAGGGGAAGTCCCTCCATCACTCCAGTGAGTCCTGGATGGGGTGCTGAGCAATGTCCTAGAGGCCAGAAGGAGAGAAGTGGTGGAAGGTCAAGGAAAAGGAAGGAGCAAAGGCAACGCTGGCTAGCAAAGCCTGCCCAGAAGAAGAAGAAACAAAGTATAGAGGCAGGAAAACAGGATGAAAAAAAATCTGAGTATCCCTGAAAGTACAGTTATTAGGGATTTATAGAATGTTTGTGCGGGAGCATTCCGTAGGAAAAAAATGT